AAAAATAGAAAAATTAGCCGGGCATGGTGGCACGTGCCTATAGTCCCAGCTACTCGGGAGGCTGAGGCAGGAGGATCACTGGAGCCCAGGAGTTTGAGGTTGCTGTGAGTGAGGATGACTCCACGGCATTCTACTCAGGACAACAGAGTGAGATTCTGTCTCAAAATGAAAACAAAAACAAACCCCAAACCAAAAAAAGCCACAAATTAAAAGTGTGTGTGTGAGTCGGGTGGTAAAAAGAAAAAGAATTCCATGCGTTTAAATTACCCATTCATTTAACTGAATTATTCTTAGAATATAAGAGCCACCAGGGCAGGGACCACATGTTTGGCTCCCTGCTGTGTTAGACGCTGTTCATCCTGTCGTCAGGATCCTGTGGCCCCCCTCCCCCCCATTCTTTGCCAGTCGAACCTGCCCTAGCGCAGGGCAGCTGTGTGCTATGCCGGCTGTGAGCTGACAATCCCAGGATTCCTTGCAGCCAAGTGTGGCCTTGAGGACCACTTTTGCCAATGAGTTCACCTACAGGGCAGATCCTGGGAAAGATTTTGTTTTTATAATAAAAGGGGCAGATGTGGCTAGTACAGGCCTTCGCCCCCTTCTTTCTGCCTTGGACAAAAAGGAACACAATGCCTGGATATGTTATGTCCACCTTGCCACATGGAAGAGAAAGCCAAGAGGATGACAAAGAATCCAGTTTTGCCACCATCGGGCCACCTCACCAATACTGTCGTGGCAGAGGCTTTATGTTGTGAGGAAAAGAAACTGTTTGCCTAACTATTGTTAATGACTTTTAAAATTCTATGCTGCTGAAAGCATTTGTAATTGATAAAACTGCTGAGGCCGAATGCCTGCCATAATATTTGAAAGGAATCGGGCATTTGAATGTGGTCGTTGAGTTAATCAGTGACTTGGGGAAGGTCATGTTGGGGTTTTTTCTGAACTTTAAAAATTCTGTTAAAATATACATAACATGATATTTATCATCTTAACCATTTGTAAGTATACATCAATTTAATAGCATTAAATACATTACAATGTTGTATAACCATCACCACTATCTATACCCAGAACTTTTCCATCATCCTCGACATAAAACTCTCTACCCATTAAACAATTCCCCACTCCTTCTCCTTCCCCCAGCCCTGGAAATCACTGTTCTACTTTCCGTCTCTTTGACTCTAACTATCCAGGGATCTCCCCTAAGTGGAATCACACAATGTTTGTCCTTCAGAGTCTGGGTATTGCGAGTAGCAAAATGTCCTCAAGGTCCATCGTAGTTGTAGCATGTGTTGGAGTTTTATTCTTTTTTTAAAGGCTGAGTAATATCCCATTGTATGTATACGCCATGTTTTGTCCGTCCATTCTTCTGCTGATGGACATTTGGACTGTTTCCATCTTTTGGCTACTGTGAATAGAGCCGCCATGAACACTGGTGTGCGCATGTCTGTTGGAGACCTTGCTTTCAGGCCTTTCGGGTGTATGCCCAGAGGTGGAACTGCTGGATCGCACGGAGATCCCCGTCTGACCTTTTGAGGAACTGCCGAGCTGTTTTCCACAGCCCTGCGCCACGTTGCGCTCCCGCCAGCAATGCACAATTCCAGTTTCTCTGCATCCTCACCAACATTTGTTAGTTTCCATTTAAAAAGTTATAGCCACCCTGGTGGGTGTGAGTTAATATCTCCTTGCGGTTTGATGTGCATTTCCCTAGTGACCGTTGGTGAGCTTATGGGAGAAGGGGAGCGCAGACCGGCCCGGCCAGCGGATGGAGGCCGCGGCTCCAGCCTGGCCCCGGGAGATAAGTGGGGCTCCCTGGAGCCCCAGTGCAAGTCACTGTTGGAGGAGGCGGCTCCGGCTCCACGAGGCTCTGTTAGGAAAAGCCAGGGTTGGCGGAGGAAGGGGCAGAGCGTCCCTCACCCTTGCCACGCTCTGCACCTGTGCCCCAGGCTCCCACGACGTGCCCCTGGCCACAGAGCTCAGGCCGGGCGAGGAACCATGTCTCCAACCCCGTCCGCCCTCTTCTGTCTTGGTGAGTCCTGAGGGTGGGTCTGGGAGGTGC